CTTTCCCAGTAAAGACATGTGTAAGACAGGGATGTGTTATGTTATCTCTCCTCTTCAACCTTGTGATTGATTGGATACTAAAGAACACAGTAGGCAGGACATTAAGAGGCATACGATCGACTCCATTCACCATGCTTGAGGACCTTGATTTTGCAGATGATATAGCATTACTATCACATAAACATGAACATTTACAAGAGAAAAGTAACAGACTACACTGCACAGCAGAAATGGTGGACTGAGAATAAATACAAAGAAAACTAAGATCATGACAAACAGTCTAAACCAACAACCAGTGGCCATAAGTAACCAATCACTTGAAAATGTAAAACATTTCACATATCTTGGCAGTGTGGTGTCCCTACTGGGAGGGACAGAGGAAGACATACAGGCACGCCTGAACAAAGCTAAAGCTGCTTTTGGAAGGATAAGGCAAATCTGGAAATCCAACAATTACTGCAGAGGAACAAAACTCCGACTCTACAAGAGCATCATTTATCCGGTTCTTCGTTATGTAGCGGAATGCTGGACAATGACTAAAAAGGATGCACACAAGCTGTCCACCTTCCACCACACATGTCTACGTAGAATTATCAAAAATATTTGGCCAGATACAATCTCAAACACTAAACTACTTCAAGCCACAAACCAAGAAACTTTAGACAGTATGATAACCAAGAGAAGATGGAAATGGCTTGGCCACGTTATAAAAATATCTTCTGTTATACCTCCCAAAACAGCTCTCACATGGACACCAGAGGGAAAGAGAAAACAGGGGCGCCCAAAAACAACATTGAGACGAAAGATGGAAAGTGACCTGAGTGCGGCATCTTTGACATAGAAAACTGCACTGAAGATTGCACAGGACAGGAAAGCATGGAAAGTCCTCTCTGAAGCCTCATGTGCGACTAGGCATAACGAGAACTGATGATGACTGATGATTCATTTAATTGATATTTCAACATAAAATAAAACAAAAGTAAACAAATTATTTAAAATCACATTTCTACAATATTAAAAAATAATGCTTTGAGTCGCCGTTGTGTAGTGGCTAGATACTCGCATGTGGATCAGAAGGTCGTGTACTCCGTCCTCATGGAGCCAGATGTTTTTCAAAATCATCATTATTATGTAGCAGGTCCTTTTGCAGAACGTCGCTCTCATCACGGTCTGCCTGGAAGAAACTCGGCCTCTCGCCGGCTTTCCCACCTCATGCACTTTCATACTCAAGAAGTCACTTATCCTGTGCCCATCTTCGTGTTGTTCGGCCTCTGACCCTCCTTCCTGGTTTCATGCTCCTGCTTTAATTTTTTCCAGTTCGTCGTGGCGCTTGATATGACCAAAACATGTTTGCCTCTGAGACAGAATGCTGTTTATAAGCCAATCTTCCATGATTTTCATATCTTTCAAGATGTCAGTATTTCTCCTCATTTTCGTCCAAGATATTCTGAGAATCTTTCTATAAGCATTTTAATTCAAAAGCTCCTATTCTCTTTCCCAAGGACTGGAAGATAGCCCACGACAGACATCCGTAATAGGTCCCTGATACCCCGTTCACTCGTTAGGCCATACTTATGGCCCGGTTATCTTTAGAGCCCCCGGCAAAAGCCAGGATTGGGCTTCAAAATAAAGAACAATTGCATCCCACATGGATGAGTATCCAGACATTTTCAAAGACGTGTTATATCCAAGACTAATACTTGAGCAAAAGATTTTCTACAGCTTCATTGTATGTGCTACTCTGTTTCCAAGAAATTTTTCCACCACTGACTTACATGCTAGCATGTTACAATTTCCTTGCCATAGATTATGAAAAAAAAACAGCATGAAGTCTGCATGAAGTTTTCAAAAAATTGGACCAGCCAATACTTCCTCTCTTATTTAACTCTTTAAGGCCCAAACAACGGTGTGAGCGTAGTTTGAGAAGTTCCGTTCTGCCCAAACAACGGTGTCATCGTCAATTGTGTATCTCTTACATTTTGCTTCGCACGCGCGTTCGTACTAGTTTCTAATGTTTGGAGCTACGAATAACCTATTCAGGGAAAATCACTCTGCCGAAATCCTTTTAGTTTCATTTCTTGGACTAAACCACATGTGGATAATTTAAGAGAAAAAAACATCAAATTTTTTTTAACAGTTCATTTTTTAAGTTCGTTTTTGAGTGCACTGAATACCAATGTTCTAACCACAAGAACAGGTCGCAGAATGCGTCTTTTTGCGACCGAAGCTCTGAAATTGTTTCAGTCACATGTTTTTAACTGTGATAATGATAATAAAAATTTAGATTTTTCGGAAAGTGATTCGGACAGTGAATTTTCACCAGTGAAGCTGAGCGATCAGCTGTTCGGAATATGGCGATTCTGGCGAGTTTATTACACAGACAATGTCCCTTACTACCGTATGTATCGTGTAAGAGAAGGAAAGTGCTCTAAACAAAGAGATAGTACCATGCTATGGCTAAGCTACATTGAAATCATCGCAGCTACAGTCTGTAAATAACTATACAAAGTAAATAGTAAATAGTGTGTGTGTTATGGCTCATTTTTCTGCCATTTTTTTTCTCTGAAATTTTGCTTAGCACTCGGTGGGAACTAAGAGCCCCTGAGTGATAAACTAACCCAGAAAGTTATCATAACTTTAGAATATGTTAGGAAATTGAACAAACTTTGAAGTTTTGTTCTCAAATTTGGATATTTACTATTCTTGTGGCTGCAAAACCATGGCAAGTGAAGAATTCTTTTTTTTTTTGAAATGTTGTCCTTGTGAAATTAACACCTGCTGAATTCTTCTTTTCCACTAACTATAACAAATTCAAACAAACACTTATCATCAGATTCAAAAAGTACATTGATTTCTCTTTTAAAAAATATAAACTTTTATAGGGATTAGAAGTATATTACAATCTCTACAGCCTTTCTTGTACACCCACCCCTCTGCCATTTTTGTAAAGGGAAATTAATGTGGGCCAGGTCTGTCAATATTCATGGGCCTGAAAGAGTGCTTAATTCAGGTATGGACATTTTTAGATTGTGTATTTGACTGCCCTATCTGTTTTCACTATTGCCTTGACATATGTTTTTTACTAAGCAGGAATTGCAAAAAAAAAAAAAAAAAGTGTTGCTATTTTCGGCAAGAGTGTGCTCTCACCGTTTTTACAGACAGGCTTCAATGACTGCATGATTGTATAATTTATTCTGGTGAAATAGTAGTTTCGTGCACGACAACCCCACTCACAGAGAAAGCAAAAGTACTTTTTGTATCCACAATCTGGCCCAAGCAAGAACGTGACTATTTTGAAGTCACCACAATGTGACCAATAATGTTGATCGTAGTTTAATCATTTCAAAAAGCCACTTGCTGTTTTGAAAAGTGTCATTCATTTAAATTGCACTAAAATATTAGTTGCCTATTATTTACATAATGTCGCGGACTCAACCCCATAATTTGTGTGGCTGTTGTGGTTTTTCTAGGCAAATTTTACTTTCACTAGTTCGCCAGTGTTGCTTGAGCGGTCAGCTCGGTACCACTGTCGAAACCAGCGAAAGAGAAATCTTCGGCAGCAGGCATCGAAACACGGTTACCCGGCATTACGAAACACGTTCGCAACAGACACGGAACTGCCATACCAGCTAATATTAACGCTAACACATAACCAGTATTCAACACACATCTTTAAGAGCCAGTTTAGATTTAATAATAAAAAGTCTCCACTCTTATTTTTCAATTGATTGTTAGGGCTGCCATTATTTCAGTAAAACTGAGGCACGCAGGAATGTCATCCTCTCCGGAAAAAAAAATGTAATAATTGGATTCTGACGGTTCTTTTACACTAGATAAACATCTTCTGTCGGGAGATTCTTCTGTTGCAATCTGAACACTAAAGCTCTGCATTGTTCTTTAGTAAATGTATATCTCTTACAAGATCATATCGTTCAATCCAGTTTAGTAAGTGTGTTTTAGAGGATACAGTTTGCCGACAGCCCGTGTCGCTTGATGTAGTTGGTTCAAGACTACCAATTTTATCTTCTTCATCAGTGGAAGCAGCTGAAAAGAATTCTAGCACTTCAAGAACAAGTAGGTCATTGCCATGTGGTACCTGACGTTTTGCAGAGGGAATGTTGGAGTAATCCACATTTTTGGTTGTTGTTGCTTTATGGATATGCATTTCCCAACCGGAGTGACCATGCAAAAGCAACATTGTTGAGATAATCTGCGGGATTTCTCCAAATCACCAGGAACGTAAAAGGCATAGCTTGCCTTTCGCCATAAGCCACAGTTTAAGATGTGCAGGCATGTATTGCAGCATGCGTGGCGCCTGGCTCTGCTCATGGTTTCCTATTATGCAGCCAGAATACAAACTATACGCATTGTTAATCACTGCAATTATAAGTTCTTTTGTGTAATATAAATGTCACATACTCACACACTCACACACACAAATTATGAGCCCTGCTCACACATGTTCTATGTATTTAAAGCTACGATACTTTTGATAAGGACACATACATTTATTAATTTAAAATTTTATCAGAGATAAGATATGTATACACATTGATGAAATCATAGGTAGGGTGCATCGTATATTTTTATTTACTTGTCAGAAAAAAAATTATGCAAACACCGACAGGTTGAATCACACACACACGCACAGACATATACATATGTATCATCACGTGCCTTGCAGACTGGCGTGGGCGATCATGCCTCTCCACTACACACACACACACACACACACACACACACACAAACACACATCCAGATAAACCCTAATTTCTTTTAAACAGCGATTGATGTTATCCATAGAGCACGGGAAGGACATGTTGCAGGAGTCTTGCACAAAGATCCGTAAAAACTGCACAGAGAAGGCTAGCTCTCCAAGTGAGATACGGAGTCTTCTTATACATCAAAGCTTCATTAGGTTTCCCTCACGTGCGTGGCCGAAACTATCTCGGTTACAAAGTTATAAAGCTCTAAATGACTTCTGAACATGTAAAAACAGGTCAATCTCCAACCCCTATCCACTGTCGCGGGTAATACGTTCGTTTGTTGAGTAGGTTTCCTTGAAAAGTTCCTTTCGGCAAAAAACCTGTATAGTAAATAACATGTCCATTAGCCAGCCATCCAGCCCACCACCCATAAGTACCACTGGACATGATCACATGTTCACAGCTGGACAACACAGCTAAATGAACAGCAGGTGACGCAGGCGGCATAACAATAACATCTTCTGCTGACAAATTTTCTTTGCACCATGGCAAATCATCACTGGCAACTATGAATATAATGGTTCTGCCTGGAAACTTTGATTTCATCAGGTTAAAAGCTTTGGTGAAATAGGACTTTCTCGGAACTGTAAAACCTAAACTGTTCCATTCTGTCATTAGAAAGTCACCACGCCGAACATGAACTCCTACAATCATAGAAGCGTTATAATTTAAATACACTTCGCGGAGAATATTGGCTGCAACAACAGCGATGTGATCCTGGAAGGTAAATTCTTGTCTCACCTCATCTATTATTTCTGCGAAACAGCAAAACGACTGTAGGTAGCCATCAATTCGCAGGTTTCGCAAAGGCAGATTCATCAATTTTGAATCGAAATCAAGCAAATTCTTTTCTGTGATGACAGGCCATCTGAAACAAGTAAAGTGGAGTTAGTAAATGATAGTTTTATTTCACTGTTGTGTTAGGATTTTAATTATGCTGATGACACAGTCTTGATAGCAACAAGTCAGAAAGAACTACAGGAAATGATAGACATTGTGGTGTTAGAAAGTGGAAGAATGGGCCTCAGTTTAAATAATGGGAAGACAGAAGTAATGGTGGTATCAAAGAAACAAATTATTCCTAAGTGTGTAATAAAAGTTGATGGTGTTATTTTAGGACAAGTACAGCAATTTAAGTATCTGGGCACATGGATAACATCAGATGGAAGATGCATAACAGAGATAAGAAATAGAATAGGACAGGCAAAAAATGCATTTTATAAAATGAAAAACATGTGCAATATATCCTTGTCATTGAGAGTTAGAAAACGAATTCTTGCTTGCTACATACATCCAGTTTTTACATATGGCTGTGAATCCTGGACAATCGGTAGGCAGGCCAAACAATTTCTGGAGGCCTCGGAGATGTGGGTTTACAGAAGAATGCTTAGAATACCTTGGACAGCCAAAAAGAACAACCAAGAGTTTTTGAAAGAGGCGGGAGCCCGAAGACAACTTATCACAGACATCAGAAGGAGACAGTCATCATTTTTCGGCCGTGTTATGAAAAGACGGAAAATAGAACATGTTGTGACCACCGGAAAGATATGTGGAAGGAGAGATAGAAGAAGACAACGAGAGAAGATGCTTGACAGTCTTGTTGCATGGCATGGAGGTGTGTCGGCACATGAACTGATACATGCTGCAGGAGATCGCAGATTATGGAGAGGCATGATCGCCCACGCCAGTCGGCAAGGCACCTGATGATGATGCTGTTAGGCATTTGGATCCACATATGTATTGTATTGTGAGTTTTTGATATTGTAAACATCGTGCGGCATTTTTTTCAGTGGAACGATATTTTAGGATAAAATTTTATTTTGTGTTTGTCTATGAGCCTTAGACTAGTTAATAAAAATTCATCATTATGATCACGTTTTGCTATGTGCTTGTGAAACAAGGACGAGCTGAAACACATTCAATCACAGGCAATTTTGCATCGAAATCAAGCAAATTCTTTTCTTCGACGACAGGCCATCTGAAAAAAGTAAAGTGGAGTAAGTAAATGATCATTTTATGTCACGTTGTGTTTGGCATTTGGGTCCAGACATGTTACAGACAAAACATTGGGGGTGGGGTGGAACCTAAGTCCTTTTGAACATTTGATTAATAAAACGGGTGAGGGTGAGGGTGGAAAAGGGGGGGGGGGAGAAGCAGAGCTCAAAGAAACTAAGCATAATAATTACAACAGTAACTATTAATAATAATAATAATAATAATAATAATAATGACTTTCGAAGAGGCTATGAAAATGTTATAATGTATATATATTATAAAATAAATTATAGAAACAAATACGCAAAACGAGCACTTCTATAAAATATATAGTATAATATGAATTTAAAAAAAAAAATATGCAAAACAAACACGTTTATAAATTATATAGCATAGTATGAATTGTAGAAAAAAAAAAAAAAAGCAAACAAGCACTTCTATAAAGTATACAGAATTTTTTTTTAAATAATTTATTAGAATATTTTTCCAAGTGCCACACTTTTATTTACGTTAAGGAGCAACACTATATGATCTCAATGGTGTCTGCTAATGCAATCGGTTGATCTTCACTCATAAATGTTGCTTCTCCCTTAGCTACGTTGACCACCTCATACAAGGCAGGAGATTCAAGAGCCTTTACTCCTAGAATCACAATGTATGGGTAGCCAAGCCTGCTGTATGCCAATCGTCATAGACATCCTGTCATCAATGACCCACTTCTCCGCTCAGATGTGGTCGCTGTGTGAAGGAATCACTCAACGATTCTGCCGTGTACTCACTTCCCGGTGGTCCATCCTTTTTAAGAATTATATAAATCTGATGAGGGGCAATCAAACTGGGCCACCTCAGGCTGTTTTCTGTTGACAGAACTTCAGTTGTGGACTGTATAATCCGTGTCTGCCCAGACTAAAACCCAACATACTTTAATGTATGTTTTGTCCATCTTGACTTCTGTATGCTGCAATAAATATAGATGAGTATTTTGTGCCCAGGTAGAATGTGTGGCCAACCTCATTTCCTTTCCGTTCTTGCTACTCACATTCTGTATCAGGCAACTGGCACGAGCTGGACAAGCTTCCATCTGCAGCTGCCAATTCCTTGTTCATCTTAACCTGACACCTATCGCACAGCAAACCAGAATCCTGGCCTACATCTGCTGGTAGTGATACTCGTGAGACAAATCTACCCAGTCTAGCCTGTAGTTCCATAAACTTTGACGTTGTCTACGCCTATTCTATCAAAGATGCGGTCGTAAGCTTTGCACACAGTGTTGTAGGTTTCCGGTGCAGTTTCTTTATTTGTATCAAATGTGTACATATCTTTATTTCAAACTCTCTTCCTCATAAAAGGCCGAATTTGGGTGCTATTTCGTCACGAAACTTTCGTATTATCTGATAGAGTCTCATTGGCAACTGCTTGTAAGAAAACTGGTTTATTCGCCAACAGCTGTGTCACGAGCACCTCATGTGTCGGTCCCAGACAAAACTGATGTTTCTGCCTATTTTTGAGTGTAAATAATTTAGCCCCTGCTGTCTCCCACCTGCCAGATTTCTGCCACAAAGATTCTTTCGCAAGAGTAGTCATGGCAATCCTTTGTCCCCCAACTGTTTTCATCTCCTTATCCACAAGTCGTGTCAGCTTTTCAAAGGCAAGTACTTCCAGCGGAAGCATATGGAATCGTCCAAAATAGCTGGCAGCTATGATATCATTATAGAGCATCAGCTTTTGGCTATTACATGACAGCCCAGCTTCCTGTTCAGTTTTCATTTTTGGCTGCAGCTTGCCAAAATTCGGAAGGACGAGCCACACATAACGTCGGTGACAATATGAACCCATCTGTCCTTGTGTAATGCAATGAATCTGTTCGTGTTATTCTAAACAATGCAGGTGTGGGCATATCTCGTTCACGAGCACTTCCAAAACACTTTCATGTAGTATAATATAGATTTAAGAAACAAATATGCACAACAAGCAGAACTGTAAAGTATATTGTATAATAGATGTTATAGAAACAAATACTCAAAACAAGCACTACTTGACATAGCTATGATGATCAAGCTCAGTTGCTTATCTTTCTTGCCGGGAGGGGGATGAGGGACGGGGAGATTTAGCTCCCTTATGTTTCTTTTGGGGGAGGCGCTGTGTGCTGAAATTTGAGGTTATGACTCTTTTGTTAATATTGTACACATCGTGCACAATACACACATCTGTATATTAGAGTGTAGTGTTTTTTTTTTAGCTCAAATGCGTGGAGGTGAAAGTAAAAAGTAAAGGACCCTTTTCCATGCCTCATGGCGTATAAGGCATACAGGGCTATACCTATAATTTTATACACCAATCGGCATAAGATAGGTAATGTGGTCAGCATAACGCCGGCGTTGAGGTGTACCTTGGTAATATTCAGGATAATAAATTAATTACCTGTAAGCTTTGTTGTAAGTCCACTTACGTTTCGGCTTCTTCGTGAACTCCCTCATGTGTTAATTTAAAGGTCTGTCCCAAGTCTGTACCAGGTTCAGTAAACATTTGTCTGCCTTGTTTTCGAGCAATTCCCAAATTGCCAGCATATCTGAACATCATGTTGCCTAGTCTTCCGAGTTTCATGACGTGTTCGGTTGTGAACAAGGTGACGTTGTGGACTAATGTCTTTTTACGTGGTGTCGAGAAACTAACTGTACACAATTCTTCATCATATAAGTCTTTGTAGAGTGTTGCACTGCTCATATTTCTCTTGACAGTTTCTGGTGTGGTGTCCAGTTTATGAAAATCCTTCAAAGATAACGACTTTTGATAGGCTTTGCTGAAATAATAAGTGTTCTTTGATAAGTACATAGAATCAAATTTAAAAAAATATATTCACGCCAACTGCCCTTGAGGTAGCTCATTAAAAGGTAGTTGGGTATTCTTTACAAACACAATCGCCAACAAAACCAGCCCTCCTGATGGTTTGTGGCTGTACTGAGACATTTTACGCTCAAGATTTTGCTTTTTATTGGAAACAACCAAACATCAGAAAGGAGTGAGAAAGGTCTGCATTCTTTTTCTGTCCAGTTTTAACATTTATGCTGAGAATGTTATGAGAAATGCAGTTGGCGAGGAGGCATGTGAGAGTTTCGATCTGCTAAAAATCTGAGGTAATCCTATCCCAAAACTTATACATGCAGATGACAGTTATCATTTCCAATAGTGTACCGGTTAAGAAAAAATTAAATCTGGTCTTCAAAAGCACAGCGAAGAAGTAAATCTTTTTCTGAAAGTGAAAAAAAAAAAAAAATGCCTGTCCTTTTTTACATGCAGCACACCAATCACACATTACAATCGAAAATGAAGAAATAGAAAATGTCACAGATTTTGAATGCTTGGGCTTTTTAGTGAACAACAGTGGAGACTGCTCGAAAGATGTCAAAAGAAACCTTGCTTTAGCAACGCTGAGAGAAAAAAAAAACGAAGAACCGATGGCAAAGGACGTGTAAATTAGTTAAAGTAAAAATCTTAGGATCATGCATTTTACCTGTGGCTACTTACCGTTGTGAGTCTTAGACTCTCGCTCAATCACTGAAGAAAAAGATTGGAGATTTTGAATTAAAATGTTACAGAAAAATTCTCAAAATACGAAGGATCGAAGTATTGACATTCTACACGAGTTGGACATCAAGGAGAACTGGCTCATAAATAGCGTCCTGGTCTGAAATGTCAGTTTTTTTTACATCAAACGTCAGGTTGACTTGGAAAAGACGGTGAAGGAGGGTGCTGTTTGTGGAAAGAAGACAGGGGTCGACCTCAACGAAGGATACAGGACATCGAAGATGCACTGGCATTGAAAGCGAATGGGGTTGCAGAGCTGGCTAGGGAAAGGGATACTTTCAGGTGTGCCATGGGGAGCGCGCCGTTCAGTAAAGGAGTTGCTGATTAATGAATGAATATAACTGATGCATAGTTGTGGCGGGGGGGGGGGCAATAGGTACATTTGTTTCACATTTTAGCACTGTAAGGGGAAAAAACATGGAAGGAAATCTGTCTGCATAACATTTGGAGCCTATAACCAGCCGGTTAGCAGTCAAAGCCTAGCTACTGCCCTGCCACAGTTTCTGCAACACTTGTTCGAAAATGATCCTGGCCCCAAGGTCTTGAGTGGGTACCGGGAGCAGTGCCAGGAAGTCAAGGCCGATGGCGGAATGTTGGCCACATCAACCACGAAGAACTAAATGGTAGATAAAAACAGAGATCTAGCCTTATATACACAGTACGCGTAAAATCGTGGAAATGGTCCTGTACCAATGGGTCCTGAAATCTTTGTGACATAATTGATGGCTAAAAATACCTGTTCGTGTACAAGATTGTTCCATGTCTTATGCTTCTGATGAGGGAGTATGTGTTAGTTCTTAGCATATTCGTCATAACGCATTTCCAAAAAAAAGTGGGGGGGGGGGACAGGGGTGCGAATAAAAAAAGGGCGAATATCCAACGAGTTTTTAATCATATGAATTTACTCTAAACTGTAAAAAAAATGTTTAATCCTTTGTCTGCCCCGAATTTGTTTCTATTCTATCTCTAGCTAAACACAGACAGTGATAGATAGGCTGCGTGCAGTCGTGGGACCTAGGCTGAACTCTCTTGTGGAAAGTAGGTGTTTTAGGTATAAGCTAAGTTCTAGATGTTCTGGGGTAGTTAAAAGTATCAGATACATGGGAAACCCGCTCTTGTCACACTTGAAAATATTGGACTGTCATTTGACGTCATCCGGGGGGCGGGTAAGATATTGGGAAAGCACCCCGAATTTCGTCTATCTAATCAAGAACATTAACCTAGAAAATCGATCTCAGAAATCATTGCAAATACATTTTAATTATGTATTAACCATTATACTTATTACTGCTTTATCATTTTGACATTGATTTACTCTTCCTCATTACCTAAATATCTTTTAAATACCTTTTCTGTGTTAAGTAAGTAAAAATCCCTCTTCACGCCTATAGACGCATCGGGTATATGGAAACAGCGCTAATATTTTTATAGACCATCGGCACTGGGTGGGTAGTGTGGTAAGCATGACGCCGGCCTTCTTTACTTCCCCGGGACAGCCATCTTGGTACCCATTTTAGGCTGGGTCGACATGCGACGCTCCATACTATGATAAAATTCCACGTAGCCAGCACTGGGTTTCGATCGCAGTAGGTTGGAATTACAAGTCAGACTTGCAACGTTAAAGCCACGGACGAAGTATACTGTATTGTGTCTCAATAAATAAATAGAAAAAAAAAAAACAATTTGTTCTGGATTTTAAAGAAATGGCTATTATTTGCAAGAGGAGACATGTTTGGTTAAGACATTAGCTAGTCACTTCTGGTAATTCATGCCCTGATGTTTCATTAGCGTTTGCAGACGGCACACCAGCACTAGTTTTGTTTGTCATTTTTTTTTTTTTTTCTATTTTCAAAGAAGATATCAAATGCAAAGTGTCGCAACACATAGACATCAATGAATTTGTACACTGATTAACTATACTGATGTTTTGAAAGGCATTTGTCGATGAAAATCTCCTTTTTTTTTTCAGGTGGCCCATTATTCAGAATTTTCCACTCTTGGAGCAGCAATAATTTTTTTGAGGGGGTGGGGGGGTGGAGGGGGTTCCCTCTCCTCTAACGATTCGCAGACCACGCAAAGGACCAATATTGATTCTCGGGGAACATTGAACACAAAATTCCAAGAAAAAAATAGTCTAATTAAAATAACAATAAATTGGCATTGACGAATTTTAGAGTTTTGCAGTATTTTAAAGTAATTTCGAATATAAAAGCCCCAGAGCGCCCTCCATATATCTGGCCATTACAAATGAGACTTGATATCAACAGTGAGATAACGTCTAAAGACAAAATTGCGAAAGCTTTATATGTACTTAAGAAAGGGAAGGTTGAAGGTTCAGATGGCCTACAGAAGACATTATTAAGGACATTATAAACACAGCTACATAATCATAATTGTTCCACGGAATATTCAGTTAAACTTGTGTGCTACTATGGGTGCTTGGAGCTAAAACAACAATCGAATAACAGATTGTCTTTTTTTTTTTCAAACGTGCATTACGCATAAAAAGAAACATAATGTTATGCTTCGGTTTGCTACACACAATGCTAGATCCTTGTGTCCTTACACTGATATTGCTACACAGTATGTCGTTGGGTTTAGAGTAAAGAACTCACTGCTAGGAACAGCTGAGATTCTAGGAGGGAGAAATGACGGCTGTCTAACTCAAACAGTTTTATCACCCTTGTTCCTGAATGTAATACACACCCACATTAAGATCAGCTGAGTACGCAAACATTCTTTTTATGAGCAGCTAGATAATGCAGTAAAAGCAGTTCCTAACCATGACAGCATTTACACACCTAGTGATGTAATGCTCGCGTAAGATACAACTAAGTTTGCCTTTGAAAGTACAATTTTGGTCACATGAATAAAAGCGGGCAGATGCTGTCTGATATCTGTTTTGTGACTAGATAACGTTTAACAAAGGTGGAGGTGTCGGTCCCACGCTTCAAGTCCCAACATGAAGGACCAATTTGTCTCTCTTGTCTATTCTCTACCCTTTGACCTTTCAGGCTAGACAGGGGAAAGGATATAAACTCCGGCTACAGACAAGTCCATAATATGAAAATCAAACGAACGGAAACATATAAGTATTTGGGTGTAAACTTCAACTGCACCAACATGCTAAGAGAAGACATGCAATCTAGAAAACAATCTGGAAATAAAGTATACTATGCCCTTTAATATCTGCTAAAGTCAAAGTGACTGTCTCGCATCACCAAGATCAAAAAATATAAAACGCTGTGTGTACACACACACACACACACACACACACATACATACATACATATATATATGTATGTGTGTGTGTGTTTGTATAAATGCACAAGTAAACAAAAACCTGCATATTTTCGTGAATGAATGTATATCTTCATACCAATGTGGACTGCTGGTCATTCCCAACAATAAATCAGTGATGAAAATCAGTCCTGAAATAAAGTAGAGAGCAATGGCACAGTTTCTGTAAATATTACGCATCGTGCTTTCTAGAAAGAAGTGTTCACCGGCTTTATGTGGCGAACTTCCTTGATTTTTTTTCCCTTTTATTACACAATGTGGGACTACGTCTGTATAGTTAAGGTGGATGACAGCTGGCAATGGGCTTAGCAAACATAAGTCAGAAAACACTGTGATCAATAGGGTATTGAATCGTGGGAAAAGAAAACATGGTGGGCTGAATCAAATTATCCTTTCAAAGATAATGTAACTATTTTAATCCCACGCAACTTGCTTTGTCTTGCTCTCGTTGTTTTTACCCAGATTGATACACAGTTCTTAGTTCCGTTACACATAGTAAAAACCATCATCAATTGCCGCCTCGTGGGGAGGAACAGTTTGCGGACCATTGCTAGATGAGCACAATGACTATTCTCATTCCATGTCTATGTAGAAGATTTTTAATGGCATCAGTCCAATTCCACCAAGAGGGACCTCTTGTTTTTATATCATATCTTTCCATGTCTAGCGCCTAAGTTAGTAGTGGTTCTTGCTGCCTTCTCATTAGATGTCTAAACCATTTTATCTTTAGTTTCTCACTGAATTTGCTCTATGTTGGTACTGCCACAGTTTGTCTGATAATTTTATTTCTAAATTTATATCGGATGGTTAAGCTGACGGATTTTCTCAGACACCTCATTTCACAGGTGTTAATTATACGTTGTTAGACATTGACACTGTCCATGTCTGGCTCTGGAAGCACAATGTTGGCATGAATATACAGTTTATAATCTCTTTCTTCACAGCTC